TCTATCTCTCTCTCCCTCTCCCTTCCTCTCTCTCTAACATCAATAAAAAATAAATAATTTCTTTAACAAAATGCATTTTAAAGTACCAGCTTGGGCTCTCAGGGAAATAGTTTTATGTACTGCTTTTCGTTTCTGTAAGAATTATATGTGGTGAATTTGTTTTTATCTGATCTCAACCATGCCTGGCTTTATTCTTCTCTTTAACTAAAAAATTTTACATTCTGACTAAGAACCATTTCTTCCTTAGACTTTTTCATTTCTGTCAACTAAATGTTGGCTTTATTTTCAGAGGTAAATTTTATATGCAAAGATTTTTTTACTTTTAAGAGACTTATTCCCTTTATAATAGTATCAATACTAGATGAGATGTATGTGGTCTGCCTCATTCTCTAAATGTTCTGTGCATTGATTGCAAATCACATTTGATCCAAATGTGTTTTTTAGACAGTTACTCAATATGAGGTATGGACTTTCTTGGTTGTAAATTGTTAGGATTACAAATATAATAATAATGCCAAGAATTGGAGATATGTTTATATAGGCCTATTCTGTACATTTCTGGTGTGTGTGTGTGTGCGTGCTCACGTATGTGCATGTGCACATGCACGTGTGCTTTATTGTTGACTGCCCCAGTAAAGGAAAGAACAGAAAGAACCTAACAATGTCAAATACCTGCTGTGTGCTAGTGCTGTGCTGAGTTTTCTCACATGCATAGTCCAGGAGATTGGTGTTACTATCCCATTCTACAAACCGGAAAACTGATGTTTGGATTTGTCATGCCCAAGGCATATATTAGCATCTCATCTCTAACTCCAGAATCCATACTCTATGGCGCTGTGCCAAGACAGACTGAAGGCTAGCTGTGGTGACAGAGAACAGGCTGTAACTTCAGATATGAGAGGAATCATGTCTGTTTTGTTGTGCACTTTCTTGGCACATAATAGAAGTCTATTAATTGTTGAATGGTGAGAAGCAAACCTGTGAATTCATCTGTGGTTTCTTACATGAAACTGGAATATACACAGTCTGTGTTCTGCAACCTTGAAGGAAATGTGACAACCTCAAAATGCGGGCCTTCCCTCAGAATGCGGTATCTTCAGGGTTCATGGATCTCTTCATATCAACTCCTTCCATACACTAATAATAACTAACACTTGGATAGCATTTTTCAGTTAGTGAAATATTTATCATGCATCATTTTATTTTATTCTCATATTTGCCCTGAGAAGTAGGTATTTTTATGATGAGGAAAGAGGCTCTGAGATATTAAGTAGCTTTCTTATGTTGTTCAGTTAGTTATTGCTGAAGCCAGAATTTAAATCTAGATTTTAGTATGCTCTTCTTACTGTACTTTACTGCCTTTGCCTATTTCTCTGCACTTTAAACTTATGCTACCAGTCTGATTTCCTACAATTGCATATTTTGTTAATAGTTTAAAAAATGTATAAGAAATAAAAATTTTATAGCCACAATTCAGAAAATGAATGTGGGAAAAAGGAAGAACATGGATTTTTGGAGTGAGAAAGACTTAGGTTTAAATTCCTGCTCCACCACTTAAATACTGTTCAACTTGGGGCAAATTACTTATGTTCTTTGAGATGAAGTCTCCTCATTTGTAATATGGCGGTAATAATACCTAACTCAATGTGTTATGAGGATTAAGTACATTATTACAAAGAATCTGCTTTAATATATAGTGGGTCCTCAGTAAAAGGCAATTATATTAGCCTATTTAGCGTTTTTTATACTTTGTACTATTTTCTTAGGATAATAAATTTTTAAAAGAATAATTATGGAGTCAAAAGTTGTAAACACTTTTATTGTCCTTAAAAAATGGTTTGCCAGCACTGGTCAGTGTGGCTCACGTGGCTGGGCATCATCCCATGCGCTGAAAGGTTTCTGTTTCAATTCCTGGTCAGGGCATGTGCCTGGGTTGTGGGCTTGATCCCTGGTAGGGGGAGTGTAGGAGGCAACAGATCGATGTTACACTCTCACATCTGTTTTTCTCTTTTTCTCTCTCTCTTCCTCTTTCTCTAAAAAATATATATATATTTTTAATGGTTTGACAAATTGCTTTTTAAAATTGGGTGAGCCAATCTGTACTGTCAACAATACTTTATGAGAGTTAAGTATTATTGCAGTAGTGTACTTTGGTTTTAAAATGTTTTGATACTTTGATAGGAGAAAAATGGAACCTTGTTTTAATTTGCAGCTTTGATTCTTAGATTGAATATTTTTTTTCATTTTTACATGTACTTTCAGAATTACATGTTTGTTAGTTGAAGATTTTTTTAATTATACAGGAGTATAATTATTCATTTTAAGTCCAATCACTATGTGTTTTTATGTCATTGATCTCCATCCAACACACAGAAGTATGTGAGCCTTTTAATATCCGTGAATATTTATAAATAAGCCATTTTCTGTCCTGTTGTTGACATTATACTGTATTATTAGGGAGAGTTTAAAATACTTGGTACTATTCCTGGTATAAAAACATAGGGGAATTTAAAAACAGAAAAGGAAGTGAAAAAAATAGTGATGCTTTAACTATAGTATATGGAAGACTCAATTAAAATAAGTGAGAGATGAAAGTACACAGCCAGTCATGAGCCAGGTCCCTGGTCATTGAGGACCTTCACTAAACCTGGTGCTTTATGGCTAAAATGCCCCTTCTGTTGGCAAGAAGGAGTGAAGAAAAAGGACATTTTCTCTGGTTTTGTTTGGCTGCTGTTCTCCTTGTTCTGTTTTATCTGTGGTTCTTAATAGTAACTTTCCTCCTTTGAGTAACTGTGGAGCTCTGTCTCTGGGGATTTGCTTAATAGGCAAGTTGGATTTCTTCCTGTTGACTTTTAGCAAAGTATAGCAATCTGAGAATTGGACATACTCGAAACTTCTATTTCCATGAACTGAGTTATATTGTAACAAAAGCTATCAAGCACCAAAATCTAATATGCACGTTACTTGAGTAGTATTGTTATCTTGATATTGTGACTGTTGGCTCAGTGGCATAGAATATGTATGGAAATAAATAAAAGTAATACGCCAGTTATTTACCTTACTTATACTGGTAAAGGGAGCAATTGGGAATCATGCCACTGTTGTTATTAATGGGCCCTTAGTACTGTGACATCTTAAAATATGTCAAAAGGAAATTGCTATACTTTAACTCTAGCTTGGTGCCTTGTATTATACCTGAGAAATTAATGCAGTTCTTGGTAGCATATAGAAGCTGTTTAATGCCAATCAGAAATTGAATATAGTCCTGTTAAGTATGACTATCGTGGTAGTATGATATAACTCAGTAAGAATTGCTTTGACATGAAGGTTCATATTCTTTATTCTCATATGGATTGAGGGAACCCGAATGATCAATGTTCACTGCATCAAAAATTCGAGTGAATAACTATAAGCTTGAGGTGGCTACTTCTGTTTGACGAAATATACTTGTACATATCTTTTCTCTGTTGTAGAGACTGGGTTAAGAAAAAAACATGTGGACATAATTATTAATTAGTGATTTAATATTTCTTAACCCTCCCATTCTTTCCTCAGTTTACATGTGCATGTTGTGCACATACATGTTCTCTACTCCATCTCTCTTACACACACACCACACACACATACACACACACAGCATTGTTTGAATTAAACAGCAAAACTGTGTCCAACAATAACAAAACTAGAGAGAAAATAGGCAGTCCCAACCCCAAACACTTCCCAGAGAACCAGACATATGCACCAAGTGTGTTCGGCCTCGCCTGCTTGGGAAGATGAAAGGATGCTGACAGCCTTCAATGTTGTCATTCCTATAGGATGGTTTGGTTATACTAAAAGGTTTGAGTAAATGTCATTTTATAAATTTTGAACTCAGCACTTTATTCTTGACATATATAGATTAGGTGTTTAACAGAACAAAAGTCAATAACTTTAAAAAATGAAATAAATTATTTTACTTAAAGAATTTTTTTTTCCCCTTTATTGATTTCAGAGAGAGAGGAAGTGAGAGGGAGAGAGAGATAGAAACATCGATGAGAGAGAACATCAATTGGCTGCCTCCTGCATGCCTCCCACTGGGGATTGGGCCCACAACCTGGGCATATGTCCTGACTGAGAATCAAACCAGTGATCTCTTGAGGCACGGGTTGACACTCAACCACTGAGCCACACCAGCTGGATTTATTTTACTTTTTTATTGTTTTGGGATTTTATTTTCTGATTGCACAAGTAATACATATTAAAAAGTATAAAGAAGCAGGGGGAGCCCTGGCCAGTTTGGCTCAGCGGTTAGAGTGTTGTCCTGCGGTCTAGAGAGACCCGGGTTCAGTTCCCACTAAGGGCACGTACCTCGGTTGCAGTTGGTCCCCGGGCCTTGTTTGGGTCATGTGGGTGGCAGCCACTTGATGTGTCCCTTTCACGTTGATGTTTCTCTTTTTCTCTCTCTCTCTTTTCCTCTCTCTCCCTCCCACTCTATCTGAACAAAAAATGGAAAAATGTCCTCGGGTAAGGATAAAAAAAAGGGGGGATAAAAATCAGCTATTTTTCTGCTATCTAAGCCATCAGAGTATAAGTTTATTAGTAATGAGAGATACCTTAGATCCTCTTATATTTGGCTCCCTTGAAAAGATCAAATGTCTGTGTTTATGGGATAGTTTTCATTTTTAAGTGTGTGATATTACAAAGAGATCTAGATTCTGAATGGTAATCAATTAGATACCAATTAGGACCTCCCCTTTCCACCACCGTCATTTTTATTCTAGTCATTTGTTTCCATTCTCTAATTTGAGTTTTTTTCGATACATATTAAGGTAATACATGCTGCCCTGCGATTTATGTATTCTGACTTTGTACTGGCTGTAAGAATGGTAATATCCTGGTCTTAGACCATTTCATAGTGAATATAAAGCCTGTCTCATAACTTTATGGTAAGGAATAAATCCATGGCTCTTAATTTCTCATGGCATTTAAATAAGATGTTATGCTTTCTTTTTCTATTATAGATTGGTTGTGATCGTAGCCAAAACCTTGTGGACATTTGTAGAGAGAGGCAATTTCAGGCCTTGGTCTGTGATGCATTGGCAGTACCCATCCGCAGCGGGTCTTGTGATGCCTGTATCTCCATTGCAGTTGTTCACCACTTTGCAATAGCTGTAAGTACTGCCTTTCTTTCTCCAAGAATTTGTAACTAAAGTGGCAGGATGTATTCATTGATTTTACTGGTTTGGACCTGTATTAGCTTTTCTTTTCTTTCCATTCTCTTATCACATTTTGCACCGTTTGTTAAGAGAGCATGTGGAATGGAGATGAATTACATGGGAGTTGTACTTGGTTAAACTGATAGGACTCTGTTTTTATTGCTACATGTTTCTGCCTTTTTCCTATCTTGAGTCTTACTCATCTTTAAATTTTTTTCATCATATAATTATTTTTAATGCCCAGAGTTTATAATATGAGAGTCAGAGCTTTTTCCCAGACTCAAGTTTGTAAACTCTCATTGGCTTGTGAGGCCGGTAGGGATGTTGTTTCTTGTCTAGTTTGGTTTCGGGAAAGACTTCATTCAAACCCGCAATGGTCATCTGATCAAATGTAATTATGTTCTTTATCTTTTCCAGCTTGTTACGGAATTGCTTAATCCTGGTCTTAGATAAAAACTCAACACAGCTTTTCACATCTTTTTCTTCAGAACTCAGCAGGGCATTATATTTATCCTCTGGCACAGGAACCTTCAGGGCATTAAACTTCTCAGTCATCTACCAAGCCGGCCTTTACTACATTGGTCTTATAGTAAGCGATAGCAGGTGGATTCCTGGTAGATTTAGCCAACCTGGAGGTACGGGTCTCATTCCAGGAGTTCAGGGAGTTAGCAGTGGCCTTTGGTTTCAGGGTATGATCTCCTGCAAAGCTACCCGGTCGGTGTCCTTTAAAGCAAGTTTTTGCCCAATTATCTTGAGATCCTTCAGACTCTTGTAACCCATGGTCCACAGCAGCCTACTTATCTTTAAATTTTAGCTGTAGGACTTGAAGAGAATATCAACTCTATGCATCTTGAGTATACTCTTTCCTCAGCCTCTGAGCCTCCTCTCTACTTCTGTATGCCATCTTTCCCTCTCAACTCACACTTTCATTCCTGACATCGGAATCTCACTTCTTTCCCATTCTGTTTCTTTCCTTTTCCTATTCTTTTTTCAAAAGTCAGGTACTTGACTAGTAGTAGTAGTATGTCACTGATGCCTTTAATTAGTCACATATATTCCTAATTTTAAAATAAGTGAATTTTATAGGAAAAATAATCTTTTTTCTTGGGTGTCAGTGATTTCTCCTCCAACCTAAGCAGTAACTTTATAGCTCAGCTGGTGCTGGAGCCACCAGCCGTTTTAGTATACCTTATGACTAACTGAATTCAAAACAAAACACAGAAAACCCTCTATGTCTATACTTTATTAACAGAAATAAAAATTTCCTTTTTCTTCTTCAACCCTATTTTTAAACCCCTCAATCACAGAACAAAATTTCCCTTTTTTGTTTTATATAAGATATTTTGTTAGATTTCCTGGGCTATCTGTCTTAATTGAGAACAGTCCTATAGTTAGTTATATTTTTGTTTTCTCTCCTGGTTGATAAATGGCAACATGTTTTTGCTAGGAGCGCAGAGTGGCAGCTCTTCGGGAACTTGTTCGACTCCTGCGGCCTGGTGGGAAGGCACTCATTTATGTCTGGGCAATGGAACAAGAGTATAATAATAAGAAGTCCAAGTATCTCAGAGAAAACAGAAGCAGCCAAGGAAAGAAAGAGGAGCTCAACAATGATCTACCCATGCAGGAGCTGTTTGTGGAGCAAATGCCTGACATGGGCATTCAAAACTTAGCAAGTTCTGTCTCCTCCATTAGTGACTTTCAGAAGGGAAGATATAACTTGAGGAAAGTTGCTAATTCCAAGCTGCTGATCCATACTAACAGGACTTCTTTTCACTCTCAGGACTTACTGGTTCCCTGGCACCTTAAGGGGAACCCTGGTAAAGAAAAACCTACTGAGCCATTTGGTCCAGCAGGAACCCATGACCCAAGTCCTGTGTTTCATCGTTTCTACCACATGTTTTGTGAGGGAGAATTGGAAGCTGCCTGCCAGACTTTGAATAATGTCAGCATTCTGCAAAGCTACTATGATCAGGGAAACTGGTGTGTGATTCTTCAAAAGGTCTGATTATCTCTATGAACATATCATATACAATGAAGAAATGCTTAACTTTTTTTTTTAATCCTCAGCCAAGGATTTTTTTTTTTATTGATTTTTTAGAGAGAGGAAAGGGGAGAGAAAGAGAAACATTGATCGGTTGCCTCCCATATGCACCCCAACTGGGGATCAAACCCGTAAACTTAGGTTATGTGCCCTGACTGAGAATCAAACCCACATCATTTTGGTGTATGGGATGATGTTTCAGTCAACTGAGCCACCTAGCAGGGTGATCAGCTTTTTAAAAATAAAGCAGACTAGCCCTGGCCGGGTTTGCTCAGCGGTTAGAGCGTCAGCCCGCGGACCAGAGAGGCCTAGGTTTGGTTTCCACTAGGGTCACCTACCTCGGTTGCAATTTGTCCCCAGCCCACATCGATGTTTCTCTCTCTCTCTCTTTCTCCCTGTCTCCGTCCCACTCTATCTGAAGATAAATGCAAAACAAAATGTCCTCAGGTGAGGATAAATAAAATTAAAACAGACTAAATTAACTATCTTTTTAGTTAAAGAGAAAACAAGTGGTAAAGTACTAAAGGCATGCACCTGGGAGAAATTTGGAGCTGAGATCAGTTTGGAAACATTTAGTCTACTATTATTGCTGACCTCGTGTTTTCCATAACTGCAGGCTTCTCCTGTGGGGAGGAACAGGGATGGATTTTAAAGTGACTGAAGTAGTTTGTGGTGTATTTGGGGTCCTGGGGTAAGTGGACAGCATTTTGAAGATAAACTTTTGGTACAAAATGTTACAAACTGAATTCAATTATGTAGAATCATAGTGAAGAAATCATATAACACTTTAATAAAGAAAATTTGTTTAGTAGAAAATTACCTGAAATTTTATCTGTGAATATTAACTCCATAAAGTCATAAACAATAACCACTCTGTCATCACAGCTAGCATAGGGCTTGACACATAGGTGCGCAGTAAACTTTCAGTAAGTCAGATAATACCCATACATTAGTAGGAGCTTATCCAACACTTACTGAATTCCTACTGTGTATCCATTACTATTGTAAATACTGGGAGGGGAGCAGTGGACAGGCAACAAAGAACAAAGTCCTTGTCCTCATGGAGTTAGTTCTAGAAGGGAAGACAGACAATATGTAAATAAATAAATAAATAAATGTGCCAGATAGTGATAAATGCCATGGGGAAAGAAAACAAAATAGGTCTGGGGATTCACCTGGCCACAGAAGGTTATTTTTATTTTTAATTATTTATTTTTTCTTTATTGATTTTAGAGAGAGAGGAAGGGATAGGGAGAGCGATAGAAACATTGATGAGAGAGAACACTGATTGGCAGCCTCCTGCGTGCCCCCCACTGGGGATCAGGCCCACAACCTGGGCATGTGCTCTGACCAGGAATTGAATTGGTGACCTCTTGGTACATGGGTCGACGCTCAGCCACTGAGCCACACTGGCCAGGCCAAAAGGTTATTTTTAAAGGGCCGAAATAACCGCTAATCCTGCCTGTAGTTTATTACCAGGAGTTCATTGGTATTCATAATGCATTGATCTAGGTGCCAAGGCAAATGTGCTCTTTTAATGCCTTTATTTAAATAGGAAAACTTAGAGTTGTCAGTCAGACCTAATTGTGCCCTTACAGCCAAAGCTGTGGTGTCATTATTGGGTATTTCTAGTTTACTCATAGTTTGTTTCTGTCTAGGTGCAGTCGGTTATTTTTCACCTACTAATATTTCATAATTACTAAGTTAACTTACTACTTAGGTCGTTTCCAGAAAGAACAAAAGTAGAGAGTTAACTGTAGGTCAAATGATCATGCAGAAGGGAAAGTTGTGTGTGTGTGTGTTTCTTAAATACTTTACTCCCTGAATGCATTGCTTTTATAGTAGTACTACTTAAGACCACTTAAAGAAAAATTGCTTTCTGTGAATTATGGCTGCCTAGATAATTATATATCTTGTTACTAAGTGTTAGTGATTTTTAGTAGATAAATCCATGATTAAGTTCAAGATTTCAATAACTGATCAAATAAATACATAGAAAATCAGTAGGGATAATAGTAGCCTTAAACAACACAATTCACTAACTTAACCATATTTACATTTCTAGAACATTCTAACCAACGGCAGTAGAATATACATTCTTATGAAGTACACAAGGAGCATTTACTGAGAAAGACCATCTTCTGGGTTATAAAACAGGACTTAATACATTTAAAATAATTAAAGTTATATAAAATATGCTCTCTGGCTACAATGAAAATAAATTAGAAATTAATAGCAAAAAAGATCTCTGGAAATATCCTCAATAATTTTGAGTATAAATAACCCACAGATTCAGGAATAATTCAAAGGGTAAAATAGAAAGTATTTTGAGCTGAATGAAAATGAAAGCACAACACATTAGAATTTTTGCAAACAGAAATTCACATAGCAGGCCCAACACTGCTATCCTTAGAAGGACCTGCTTCCAAGGTCACCTCTTACCTGAAATCTGGGAACTTGGATTTCAGGGGCAGAGCAATGGGGAGGATTCCTACCACCCTAACTGATAAGAGTGGCTCACTGTGGAATTTGGGTATATGCCAGGCAAAGGGGTGCCTATGTGTCCAGCTCCCAATAAAAACCATGGATGTTGTCTCTAATCAGCTTCCCTATTTGGCAACATTTCACACTTTTTGTTGTAACATCTTGTTCAGGAATATGTTCTCTATGACTCCAATGGGAGATGACTGTTGGAAGCTTGTGCCTGGTTTCCTGTTGACCTCATACCACATACTCCATTGCTGATTGTGCTATCCTTCTGCTATAATAAATCACAACTTTGAATTCAACTGTGCTGAGTCCTGTGGATCCTCCTTGCGAATCACTGAACTTAGGGTGGGCTTGCGGATTCCTAACACACTGCTAATAAAGTAGTACTTAGGGAGAAATTTATAGCACTAAATGCCTACGGTAGGAAAGAAGATCCAAATTCCAGGACTCAGCTTTCTTAAGAAACTAGAAAAAGAAGAGCAAATGAAATGCAAAGTAGGCGGAAGAAAGGAAACAAGATCAGAGCAGAAATCAATGAAATAGAAAACAAAAACAATAAAGAAAATCAGTGAAAACAAAAGCATGTTCTTTTTTAAAAATATATTTTTTCTTTATTGATTTTAGAGAGAAAGGAAGGGAGAGGGATAAAGAGAGAGAGAAACATTGATTGGCTGCCTCCTCCATGTCCCCTGCTGGGGATCGAGCCCAAAATGGCAGGCATGTTCCCTGACTGGAATTCAAACCAGTGACCTCTTGGTGCGTGGGACTATTCTTAAACGTTGAGCCACACCAGCTGGGCAACAAAAGCATGTTCTTGGACAAAACTAAAAGTTTATAAAATACAATCAGTAAAACAAGATAGATTCTCATGTAATGACTTTTCCAGATTTACACTTGTTTGAAAAAGGTTTATTATTTAATCAACAAAATTTTTCATAAATATTTGCAGTAGGATTATGTACTTCAAATAACAATCCAATATAATTACACAATTTTCTATAATAAATATATTGAGGAAAATAAAACACTACTTATATATTAAAGAATTATGATCTTAGCCAGTTCCTAAATGTGTCTGAATATTGTGCTTGAAAATTTAGATTCCAGGTAAAGCCAGTAAGCCATGTCGACTGACTATAGAGATAAAAATTTTTAAAACATACTGCTTATTTTTTTTTGCTAATTGTAATATTTTTCTATTCTTTGATGTTTCAAAAAGAAAATTAAGAGAAATTCTTTCTCTGCATCATTTCCTTTATTGCTTTTCTGCTTTGAAATAGCAACTTCCACTGTCAGTCAAGAAGTTACTAAGCAGTAAGTCCATTGTTCTTGCCAGGGCTGTTAAGTCAGCTCACTGAATATTTTCCTCTCACAGAAGTGGGCAGAGAATGTATTACTTCTCCCTACATAACTCATTTTCAGCTGCTTCTCGATGCCTGGCTACATCTATGTGGTTTGTCTTCCCTTGAAGTTGAAGAGGAAACTTCTTTGAGAGAAGTCTTGATTTTGCTGTAAAAGAATTCCCATAAAGGAAGAGAGAATGTAAGATATGACTTCCAATTAACTTTTGTCAGTTATGACTATAGCTTTGAAGAATTATTCTTTAGTTAATGAAAGAATCTGAAGTTTTAATAGAGGGTGTTAAAGGACCACGATATAGTGTGCCTCATAATTCTTCACTCCTCCCTCTACTGATTTTTTTATTATTATTATTTATTTCTTTTTATTGATTAATTTTTGTTACAGATGATTCTCCTTTTTCCCCCCACTGATTCCCCCCTCCTCCTCCCCTCCCTGCCCCTTCCCCAGATTGTTGTCCATGTCCACTGTTCATGCATACATGCGTATAAGTTCTGTGGTTCATCCCTCCCCCACCTCCCCACTCCTTAGGGGATTGTCAGTCTGTACCCTGCTTCCGCGTCTCTGGGACTGCCCCATTCCTCAAACTGTTATGTTCATTATATTCCACAAATAAGTGAGATCATATGAAATTTGTCTTTCTCTGTTTGGCTTGTTTCACTTAGGATGATACTTTCCAGGTCCCTCCATGTAGTCTCAAAGGATAAGAGATCTTTCTTTCTTACCGCTGCATAGTACTCCATTGTGTATATGTACCACAGCTTTTTGATCCATTCGTCTACTGATGGGCACTTGGGCTGTTTCCAGATCTTAGCTATTGTAAATAGTGCTGCTACAAAGATGGGGGTATATATATTCTTTCTTATTGGTGTTTTATGCTTCTTAGGGTATATTCCTAGAAGTGGGATCACTGGGTCAAATGGAAGATCACTTTTTAATTTTTTGAGGTGACACCACAGTGTTTTCCATAGTGGCTGCACCAGTCTGCATTCCCACCAGCAGTGTACTAGAGTCCCCTTTTCTCCACACCCTCGCCAACACTTGTTGTTTGATGATTTGTTGATGGCGGCCATTCTGACAGGTGTGAGGTGATACCTCATTGTTGTTTTGATTTGCATCTCTCTGATGATTAGTGATGATGAGCATTTCTTCATATGTTTCTTAGCCATTTTTATGTCCTGTTTGGAGAGGTGTCTATTTAGTTCCTCTGCCCATTTTTTAATTGGATTCTTTGTCTTCCTTTTGTGGAGTTGTATGAGCACTCTATATGTATTGGAAATTAACCCCTTATCTGATATATCATTGGCAATTATGCTCTCCCATACAGTGGGTAGCCTTTCCGTTTTGATGATTGTATCTTTCGCTGTGCAGAAGCTTTTGAGTTTGATGTAGTCCCATGTGTTCACTTTTCTCCTTTGTTTCTATTGCCTTAGGTGATGTGTCAGTAAAAATTCTGCTGCGTATGATGTCTGAGATTTTGTTGCCCACAGTCTCCTCTAGGATTTTTATGGATTCATGAGTTACATTTAAGTCTTTTATCCATTTTGAGTTTATTTTTGTGTAGGGTGTAAGTCTCCCTCTACTGTTTTTGATCAGCATTTGAATGAAAATGTCTGGCCTGAAGGTAGGAATTATTAGGTTAGAAATAGTAGCTCCTCACAGGTGACTTCAAAACCTTATATGTAGTCTGGAAGATAATCTGTTCAAATCAGCACTGGATAAGATAATAGGCATGGATCCATGAAACAGACTGACAGCTGTCAGAGGAGAGGATGAAAGAAGGTGAAGGGATTAGCTAAAAAACATATATGCGTAACCCATAGACACAAACAACCATGTGGTGCTGGTCTAGGGGAAGGAGGGGCAGGGGCTCAGTGGAGGTGGGCAAAGGGGGTAGGGGGAATGGAGACATCTCTAATAGTGTCAACAATAAAAATAAAGTTAAAGAATGATTTTCTTGATGGCAGCCATTCTGACAGGTGTGAGTTGATACCTCATGGTTGTTTTAATTTGCATCTCTCTGATGATTAGTGATGTTGAGCATTTCTTCATATGTCTCTTGGCCATTTGTATGTCCTTTATGGAGAGGTGTCTATTTAGGTCCTCTGCCCATTTTTTAATTGGGTTCTTTGTCTTCCTTTTGTTGAGTTGTATGAGCACTGTATATATTTTGGAACTTAACCCCTTATCTGATGCATCATTAGCGATTATGGTCTCCCATATAGTGGGATCCCTTTCCATTTTGATGGTTGTTTCTTTTGCTTTGCAGAAGCTTTTTAGTTTGATGTAGTCTCACATGTTCATTTTTTCCTTTTTTTCTGTTGCCTTAGGTGTTGTATCGGTGAAAATTCTGCTGTATATGATGTCTGAGATTTTGTTGCCTACATTTTCTTCTAGAATTTTTATGGACTCACAAGTTACATTTCAGTCTTTATCCATTTGAGTTTATTCTCATGTATGGTGTAAGTTGGTTTTCTAGCTTCATTTTTTTTGCAGGTAGCTGTCCAATTTTCCCAACACCATTTATTGAAGAGACTGTCTTGACTCCACTGTATGCTCTTGCCATCTTTCTCAAATATTAATTGAGCACATTGTCTTGGGTCAATTTCCGGGTTCTCTATTCTGTTCCATTAATCTATCTGCCTGTTCTTGTGCCAGTACCAGGCTGTGTTGGCGAGGATGTGGAGAAAAGGGGACTCTATTATTATTTTTTTATTAATTAATTAATTTTTGTTATAGATGGTTCTCTCTTTTCCCCCACTGATTCCCCCCTTCCCCTCCCTCCTCGCCCTGTCCCCAGTTTGTTGTCCATGTCCACTGTTCATGCATACATGCATATAAGTTCTGTGGTTTATCTCTCCCCCACCATCCCCTCTTCTGGGAATTGTCAGTCTGCATCCTACCTCCACATCTCTGGGACTACCCCATTCCTCAGACTGTTATGTTCATTATATTCCACAAATAAGTGAGATCATATGATACTTGTCCTTCTCTGTTTGGCTTGCCTCACTCAGGATGATACTCTCCAGGTCCCTCCATGTAGTCTCACAGGACAAGAGATCTTTCTTTCTTACAGCTGGGTCCATTGTGTATATGTACCACAGCTTTTTTATCCATTTGTCTACTGATGGACACTTGGGCTGTTTCCAGATCTTAGCTATTGTAAATAGTGCTGCTACAAACATGGGGGTACATATATTCTTCCTGATTGGTGTTTCAGGCTTCTTAGGGTATATTCCTCGAAGTGGGATCACTGGGTCAAATGGAAGTTCAATTTTTAATTTTTTGAGGTAACACCATATTGTTTTTCATAGTGGCTGCACCAGTCTTCATTCCCACCAGCAGTGTCCCACCAGCATGGAAGGACCTGGAGAGTATTATGCTAAGCGCAACAAGCCAAGCAGAGAAAGACAAATATCACATGATCTCACTTATTTGTGGAATATAATGAACTAAACAAACTGCTGAACAAAATTAACTCAGAGACATGGAGGTGGGGTACAGGCTGACCAGCCTCAGAGGAGGGGGCGGTTTATGGGGGAAGAGATAAACCACAGAACTTACATGCATGTATGCATGACCAATGAACATAGATAACAAAGTTGGGGATGTGGGGGGGAAGGGAGGAGGGTGTCAGTGGGCTAAAAATGAGAAACATCTGTAACAAAAACAAATTAATAAATAAAAAATTTTTAAAAAATGATTTTCTTCCAAACTGGATTTTCTTTTAATTTTTAATTATCTTTAAAACATAGCAGTTCTTAATTTTAATAAGATTTAATGTATCAATTTTTCTTTCTTTTGTGGACCATGCTTTTGTTCTTATATCTAAGAAACCATTACTTAACCCAACATTACAAAGATTGTCTTCTGTGTTTTCTTTTATACCTTTTATAGGTTCACATTTTACATTTTTGTCTATAATTAATTTTGTATATAGTTCAAGGTTTAGATCAAAGTTTTTATTTTTATACAGGTATCCATATGTGTCTATCTGCTATCTTTTTACCTTTGTTGATAGTTGTTTGTATGTGTGTAGGTCTATTTCTAGACTCCATTAAATTGATCTATTGGTTCTATTTTTACACCAATATATCACTGTCTTCATTACTATAACTTTAAAATACATCTTGAATTGTGATAAAAAAGAAGTAATGGAGCTATGATGACTAATCATTTTATATGCTATAAGAATTATAGTCAAGTCTTTGAAAATTAGTTTTGTTTAGCAGAGTGCAGTGGTAACTGTGCTTGCTTTATTTTTTAACATCTGCCTTGCTAAACTCCTCTACCTGGTATACTTCTGACCTGAGGCAAATTAGTGTACTGGTTCTAGAAAGAACAAAGTGTTTTCAAGATAAACATGGATTTACAACTGAACTTCACCACTTACTAGCTGAGGGACTTTGGGAGAAATAGGGATCTATAAAGACAGGCTAATAATACCTACCATGCAAGCAAGTTGTTGGGTGGGTTATGTGAGATAGCATGTAAAATATCAAGCATAGCAATTATTACATAAGAGATAGCCGATAAATGCCAGCTTGTTCCTTCCCCTCCCCTGCCCTGCGAGCAATCTGGTCATTACCTGTGGGGTTGTGTGTGTGTTGTATATTTGACAAGCATTAATGAATTCATTCAGTGCACATTTATTGATTGCCCACTGTGAGTCAGGCACTATTTTAAATAATGGATACATCAGTGAACACAAAAAGTTCCTACCCTCATGGACCTTACACTTACTTAGAGTGGAGGGAGTGTATGATGGGATATGGTAGAATAGACAATAAGCCATAAATGTGATCAGTAGTCCAGCTGGTGTGGCTCAGTGGTTGAGCGTCAACCCATGCACCAAGAGGTCACCAGTTCAATTCCCGGTCAGAGCACATGCCCAGGTTGTGGGCCAAATCCCCAGTGGAGCATGCAGGAGGTGGCCAATCAATGTTCTCTCTCATCGATGTTTCTATCTCTCCCTCTTCCTTCTTCTCTCTCTAAAATTAATAGAGAAAAAAATTTTTTTAATGTGATCAGTAAAACATATGTTGTAAAACGATACATATTTTTTTTCTCCACAGAGAAGAGGTAGAGCAGGAAAAGAAGTGAAGGGTGGGATGGCAGATGGGTTCCAGTTTTTAAAGCATGGATAAGATGGCCCTGGCCAGTTTGGTTTAGTGGTTAGAGCATTGGCCTGCAGATCAGAGAGTCCCGGGTTCGGTTCTCGCAAAGGGCATGTATCCCGATTGCAGTTTGTCCCTGGCCCCGGTTGGGGTCGTGTGGGTGGTAACCACTCGATGTGTCTCTCTCACATGGATGTTTCTTTATCTTCCTCTCTCCCTCCTGCTCTATCTGAAGATAAAATAAAAATGTCTTCGAGTGAGGATTAAAAAATAATTTTAAAAAATAATAAGTGTGGATAGGATGGTTCTCTGAGAGAATGACATTTTAGTGAAGATTTGAAGAAGGTGGAGGAGTTAACTATGTACTTATCTGTAAGACAACATTCCAGACAGAGGAAACAGCCAATGCAGAGACCTAAGGTGAAAGGCCTAAGATGAAGGGCAGGCCGCATGGAGGTCAGTGTGGGTGGAGCACAGTAAGTGAGGATAGTTGGAGATAAGATCAGGGTTATCTGGGAGGTGAGATACACCACCAGGACAGGGCAAGAGTCTAGTCTTTGGTTTTTATTCTCAGATGGTGAGCTATTTGGGTGAGCAAGTGACATTATCCCAGTTCCTTTTTAAAGGGATACTCTGGCCGCCCTGTGGAGTTCCGACAGGAGGAGGATCTACACAAGCCAGATGACAGACAGTGATTGGCTTGCAACAGTGTGGCAGTGGTTGAGGTGGTGAGTGATAACATGCTTTTCGATATGTAATTTGAGGGTAGAACCACCAGGATTTCTTGTGGGTTGGATATGGAGTGTAGGTGAATAGAAGTCAATGATGTTCCCATTGCTGAGTGTGGGACTTCTCTGTGGTTCTTAGGATCTCTCCTGTGGGGCTGCTACCCTTTAGGTCAAATGGAGTTTTGGTTTGCCCTTTCCTTCTTGCTTTTAGGCAGGAGTCCACTGTGGTGCTGCCCTGAGTAGATCTTCCTGGCAACACATCTGCAAATAAACGCAGCAAATACTATACTTTGAGTTCAGATACTTCATGCATCACTGATCAGTTGGATGTTAAGTCAATGTGTGAAAGCATAAACAGAATTCAGGATTCCGTATCATAGTTTCCTTTAGGGACCATTTGACCAAGACAAACATGTATCCAGGGATTCCAAATCATTGTAAGCAATGGACTGGCAGATGACTGGTGGCACTTTATTTTTAGTAAATCTCTAAAGAGAAAAATTTTCCCCAAGAAGAGCAAGGCATGCATGAGCACAACCTTCCAATGCCCTTTGCTGAAGCAAGGGGAGAATAAATGCTGATGAAAAGAGGGAGTTAAGAGCTTTATTGCTGCCTTACCGTCTGTTGTGGCTGTTTACAGGTCTCAAGAAACCTGAAAAAAATTGTGAAAGGAAAAGAAAAAACACTTAACTCTATTAGAGTGCAGTCTTATTGTCTTCACTCTGGCAAAAACAATTGGAGTTTGTTATTGATTAATAAGAAATAGCAAATAGCATCTAATCCAATTCTAAAGAGTGTGCATTCTGACTTTTACAGTTTTCAGCAAGGAAAATAGTTCATTTAAGGAAATAAAAGCTTTTAAAAGCTGTTTAAAAGGATCAACAGGAAGAGTGAAGAGAGCTCCCTAGAGTTAAGGAAGGAGTTCTTAACCTGTGGGCTATGAACAAGTGTCAGAGGCTTTGCAAATGACCCACAACTACACACAAAACTTTGTACATCTTCCATAGGAGAGGGTCATATTTTTGTCAGCTTTCCATAAAAGTTAAAACTCAAGCTATAGCCTCCAGGCAATGACCTTCCGTTGCTTATGCTCATGAGATTTAAAGGCAGCCCCAAAGTCTAAGCACCAGAAGTACTGTTGCTCTAGGATGCAAAGGTGCCCCCAGGATTATTCAGCATGCAAAGCTCCCAAACGTGTAGTAGGAGTGCATGTGTGTGTATGTGGCCAGGGGCTGGGGTGGGGGTATAATATATCTGTATCCCTATAACTTGAATTAGTTCTTGATCCAGCCTTTTGGATACATATTTGGATTCCATATTGAGAAAAGACTAAGTGAAAACTAAAAGAGTATGAAGTGTATTCTTCAATTTGACCGTGGGGCAGGGATAGGAAAGGTAAGATAGGTGTTAAATAGGATACCAGGGATTCTCCTATAGAAAACTTACTTAATTTTTCTCTTGGACAATAAACAAAAAAAAAAGCTAGACTAATAAGTCTCCTTGTTAAATACAGCAATTTAAATCTATAGTAATGACTTTCAGTGAGACTAGTGGAAACATTAAGCCAATTTAAAAAACCCATTTCACTTATATGTGGAATCTAAAGAACAATATAAACAAACAAACACCACAGAAACAGACTCATAGATACAGAGAACAGAGTGATGGTTCTCAGAGGGGAGGAGGGTTGGGGGTCTAGGTGAAAAAAGGTGAAGGAATTGAGGGGTACACATTGGTAGTTACAGAATAGTCACTGGGATATAAAGCACACCATAGGAAATATAGATAATAGTATTACAATAACTATGTATGGTGCCAGGTGGGTACTGGAACCATCAGGGGGAACACTTAATATAAAGTATGTGATTATCTAACCACTGTGCTGTACACCTGAAACTAATACAAAATAATAGTAAATGCAAACTGTAATTGAAAAAAAATTGAAAAATCAAAAGATATAAACAAAAATATAAAATGTGGATTTAAGTAAAAAAAAAAACATTTTGCAGATTATCATTGATTACTGGAACGTATAGTCATAAGACTGGTGGTATAGGTTTATCTCTGATCTGTTGTACTACCACTATGACCATGAGAATGGAGTGCTAATTGGCTCAGGCCTGGGCTTTGTGCAATACTCTGCACTAACACTGTGGCCAGAGAAATGGAGTACCTTGTTTGGCTTAAACAATCGGGGCCCTCTTGTGTATCTTTGGGTAGCATTAGTACTACACAAACTATGGGATTGAGAATGAGGAAAAGGATTCCCAAAGGAAATTTGGCCTACACTAACCAGAATGGCAATGGATACTGGATTGCCAACAACAAGGATTTTACTGTTGCTCTAGATCCCCTCTAAAAAGGAACAGATGGACCTGCATCAGATTTTCAGCATTGGCACCACCAGACGTCTGGTAGGGCAGAAATGATGTAGCAGCATATTCTGGCCAGGACCATTATACCCATGGGATTAATAGCAATGTGGACAATGATAGGCAGAACATCAGGGACTATCTTGATTCTAAGTAGTTGCCAGAGAGAGGTGTCATTGCCACTCAGTGCAATGGTGACATTGGGAATAGAGTTGGCACTCAAGTACCCCCAAAGAGATCTCAAATTTATGAGGAGACCCTAGGATCCTTGAAGAGCTCTGAGGCTGCTCTGCTTTCTGAAATTACAGTGGGAACTGCTGCCAACAAACTGGGATCCAAAATGCAATGGGGCTAATTCAGTTTTGGGGTAGCTATCCTCAACCATCAAAAGCAGGATGGGCGTAGTTACTTAAAGAAGAGGCAAAGCAACAATCAGAACAGTGTGACTCCCAGAGACCAATGGTACTGGTTGGTTGAGTAGGGTGTTCCTAAAAAACAATTAGATGAGATTTTACTAAATTTTTATTTGGTCAGTATAAGCAGAAAAGTTATAGTTCAATTATAACTTGAATCACCAAAACAGAGTCATGGCCCCTCCACAATTCCAAGACTTGAGTCAGTTTACAGATGCAGAACTCCTTCAATGAAGAGGAGGCTGGGTCTCCTTGAGGAAGGATTCTGGTGCACTGCTAAGAACATGTACTGCAAATCTTTCTCCCAGCCTTCCTGAAAGGGACACACAGCCATTAACCAGGTGATTGTGTACTGGAGGAAAGTAAGTAATTAGACCTTTTGAGGATTACTGGACTCTGGTTGTGAACTGACACTAATTCCAGGAAACCCAAGACATCACTGTGGTCCACCAGGCAGAGCAGGGGCTTATGGAAGTCAGGTGGTCAATGGAGTTTTAGCTTAGATCCTCTCACAGCAGGCCCAGTGGGTCCCCCAAACCCACTCTGTGGTTACTTTCCAGTTCCAGAATGAATAATTGGAATAGACATACTCAGAAACTGCTAGAATTCCTGCATTGGTTCCCTGTGGAGTAAGGCCTATTGTAGAAAATGCCAAGTAGAACCCACTAGACCTGCCTCCTTAAGGAAAATGGTAAACCAAAGGCAATGCCACATTCCTGAAGAGAGTGATTCTTACCATATGCCCATAAATTCACCTTTTTGGCTGGTGTAAAATATATGGATCTTGGAGGATGATTGTGGATTATTGTAAAGTGGTAACTGAAATTGAAGCTGCTGTTTTATTATTTTTTTAATTAAAAAAAATTTTAACCACCAAAATTGTCTTATTTTGTCACCAACAAAAGGTGCGACATTGCGATTGTATCATTACTTTATTTAGTTTCTTTAAATATCACTTAACATTAAAAATATGTTTACATTTAAGAAATGTAACATATTAAAGAAGTCCTCTGTATACATAATTTCTGTTCAGTATATTTCCCTGTTTTGTCTCATACATAGTAACTTAATCTACAGAGTCATAAATAAAACTATTAACTGTTATGGCCTAAAGTATACACAAATTTTGGAACTTGACAAAAGTGTCCTATGATATTATAAATAAAAACATGGAGTATTTATTATCAGATAAATGAATCATCATCACAAATTCTTATTTATTTTTTAAATATGTTTTTATTGATTTTTTAGAGAGGAAAAGAGCGAGAGATAGAAACATTGATGTGGGAGAGAAAACATCGATATACTGTCTCCTGCACACCCCCCACTGCGGATTGAGCCCACAACCAGGGCACATGCCCTGACTGGGAACCAGATCAGAACCTCTCAGTCCTTGGGACAACGTTCAATCTACCAAGCCATCGGCCAAGCTGTATGTAGTCTTTTAAAATAAATAACTTACTCAGCCCGGCCGGTGTGGCTCAGTGGCCAAGCTTCAACCCATGCAACAAGAGATGTCCAGTTCGATTCCAGGTCAGGGCACATGCCTAGGTCACGGGCCACATCCCCAGTGGGGGTATGTAGGAGGCAGCCAACTGATGTTTTCTCTTATCGATGTTTCTTTTCTTTTTTTAACTTATCTTTATTGTTGAATGTATTACAGATGTTTCTCCTTTTTCCCCTATTGACCCCTCCTCCCCACTCCCGCCCCCCTCCTGCCTTTCCCCACACTGTTGTCTGTGTTCATTGCTTATGCATATATGCATATAAGTTCTTTGGTTTATTTCTTCTCAGCCCCCCACTCCTCTTCCTTTTGAGGTTTGTCAGTCTAACAACCAATTTGTACTTTTTAATCCCTTCACCTTTTTCACCGATTCTCCCAATCACCCTCTCATCTGGAAACCAACAAAATGTTCTCAGCATCTATGAGAATATTTCTGTTCTGCTTGTTCATTTTGTTTGTAGATTCAATTGTCGATAGATAAGTATTTATTGCCATTTTGTTTGTCCATATTTTTTATCTTCTTTTCTTCAAAAAGACCCCTCAACATTTCATATAGTAATTATTTGGTGGTGGTGAACTTCTTTAGCTTTTTTTTTTTTTTTTATCTGGGAAACTCTTTAAATGATAACTTTGCAGGATAGAGTAATCTTGGTTGTAGATTCTTGCTTTTCATCACTCTGAATATTTCTT